TGGTCTTGCTGCTGCTGATGATGTTTTTGCTGCTGCCGGTGTTGTCTCTGCTGCTGTCGATGTTGTCTCTGCTGCTGTCGATGTTGTCTCTGCTGCTGTCGAATGTTGAATTGTTGCTAACGCGCGTGTTCGTTCTGCTTCAGGGATGGTATGCGAATACCAGAAGCCCTCCGGGCTGAAGTCGGGGTCGAGATCCGGGGGGTGTGTCCAGTTGGCGAAGTTCACGATGGCGTCGCTGTCTGCAGTGCCCAGGTCTGGGACGAAGTCAAGGACGAAGACGTTGTTCTTCAGGACCGCCTTTCCGATGTAGAGGCCGCCCTTCTCGTGGTATAATTTGAACTCCTGGGTGGTAATGTCAGCTTCCAAGTGAATGCCTTTCGCCATCAACTGGCTGACGCTCAGTAAGTTGTAGCGGAGTCCCTCCGCGATTAGTACTTTTGACATTTGTAGTACGACTGTTCGTCTCCCGTGACTGAAGCTGTACTATGCCTTGTCGTCTTGTTCGCAGGTTCTGATTATTGGCGACGGTGATGACGACTTCTCGTTGAAGTCGGTGCTCGCGTTGAACGAAACGCCCTGCGGAGCACATGTGTTGTCCGCTAGCAACTGTCCAAGAACCAAGTGTCTTTTCCGGATGGCTCGCTTTGAGCGATGGCGGCGTATGTCGGGTTCGGCTGTAGTGACTCGCGGCGAGCCGTGCTGTTGTCAAGTTGTTCTTCTGGTGAGTAGTATGGTGGTGACTCGGCTGTGCAGGAATCTGTTATTTTCACCAAACAGTTGACGATGTTTCTTGCTCCCTGTGCAGGTTGTCCTGTTGGAGTCGTTGAAGCTTGAATTGAAGTTGTCGGGTTTGCTTGCGTTGAAGTGACTTGGGAGCTTGAAGGCCGAAGTTGTCGCTGTGGTGTTGTCGATTGCTGACGATACGGGCAGTGCGTACGAGGATGCCCTGAAGTCTTGCAGATGTGGCAGAACGGAGGTACTGGCTTCACTTGTTGTTGTTGCCGGTTGTTGTTGTTGTTGTAGCGTCGCTGAGTGTGAAATGCGAACTCTGGTACTGGCGTTTTCTTCTTGTGTCGTTCTTCTTGCAGGTCCATGTCCTGCTGCTCGGCATGGATTTCAGCGCAGAGTGCTGCTTCGGAGATTCTCCCGTGTGCTCGTAGTATGGCGCGAGTGGAGCGCCAGTGAGGGCCAAGACCGCCGATGACGACCGTGACGAAGGCGTCTTCTGAAATCGATCCTCCACATCGAAGAAGCTTGTCGCGCAGTTCGCGGCAGCGATTGATATATGCCATGCCCTTCCCTGGTTTCATTTCTATTGTTGTCAGCTGCGCCATTAACCGGCTTTGGTTTACACTGTCTGTTGCTTGATACAGGTTCTTCAAGTGGTTGTACGCGAGCTCCGCGGAGTTACCGTAACCTCGGTAAGTCCTTATGTTCTGCTGTTGAGTCGGGGTGATGTTCCTCAGTAGTATTGTGTACGCCATCATCGATTGATAGGTGTACTGCTGCTTCTCATACTGCGTGCCATTTGTTGGATATGGCAGGGACCCGTCGAAGAAGCCAAGGATCTGCGCTCCTTCCATCATCAGCTCGAATTCGAACGACCATGTAAAGAAATCCTTCCCGTCGAAAAGTTTTGTTGTTTGTAGTTTTACAACATGCGCGAATTGCGACTGAACTTGTAGTGCGTCCAGTGCTCTTTCTTGTCCAGGTGCAGGTTGTGGTTGCGGCATGAAGCTGACGGAGCCGCGCTGGGGCTCGTACGGAGCGAAGGTAGGTTGTTGATGTTGATTCCCGCGTGCGTAGGATGAACCATCGAGACTCATGGGCGTCACGTTGTTGTTGTTGTTGCTGTTGTTTGACTGCGCAGGTACTCCTTGCTGATGCTGCTCGTAGAAGGACATGAAGGAGAAGAATTTCTCCATTATGCTTGGATCGAAGCCCACGCCTTGGTTTGCGGGTGTTTCCGTAGACCCAGCTGCTGGTCTCGTTGTTGTCCCTTCCTCTGTGTGTAGGCCAGAGGCAGGAGGTGGAGTAGGGGTAGTACCGGGAGAGCCGTTGGAGGAGCTCCTCTCCTTTCTAGCAGACATGTCTTCTTGATGTATTAAGTGTTGAATAGAATTTTTAACTCTAACCAGCTCTCATACCATGTTGGGCTGAAACGCCATAGGATCTTTAGTAGAGTTAAAGTCTGAGTAAATGATGTAGTAGCAGAAGCGTTTGAATAAAGTCCTTGAACCACCTTGCGCTAGTATGTGAGAGCAAAGTAAGTTAATTAAAGCAAAGAGATACAGGAATATATATATGAGTACAGAGAATATGAAGAGACATAGTCGTAACTGTTTTACTGTTGCGGTTGGATACAGTGCGACTCGGGCAACTGCTCAATGTCGAGTCTGACAAAAGTTAGAAGAAAGAAAGAGGAATGAACTAGCAGAAATGGGGATACAAATAGCAAACCCTAGAAGGGTTGTACTCGCTATAGAGCACCCCACTACAGGCTAGAACATAAGAATAATATTCTGACACACCCCCATAGCCAAAGTGGGGTGTAATCAGCAGAGCAAGGCAAAACAGTACAAGCTCAGGGTGGATCACAATGTCACCACGCATTCTGAGCACAAGGTCAAGAAGAAATAGTTCAAAGTTAACAATTATGAGCAAAGCTAGCAGTGGTCACAACGGGCAAGTGAGGAGGAGGAGGGAGAGTGAGAGGAGAGGAGATAGAAGGCGGCGGCTGAAGCTGCAGACACACGGGCAACAGGAGTGGCGAGCACAGTGGCTACCGGGACAGCGCCCCGGACTACGGGAGTAACAGGCCCCGCGGCTCAAGTAGCGGCAGACGGGCAACGGACCCACAGGCGACCGGCTCAGCGACAAGCTCACTGGGCTACCGGGACAGCGCCCCGGACTACAGGTGCTGCGGACGACAAACTGGCAACCTCCGCTCAACCTCCCGCACACAGTCCCACCCCCCTCATACACACCCACTGCTACACCGCTAGCTCCACTCCCACGCACCCCCCTTAAACCCTAAACCCAGTCTCCCACACAACCACCCCCCTCAGCGACAGCTGCAGCAGTGGGAGACGAAGGAGGAGGAGGAGAAAGGGAGGAAGGCACACCGGCCACCCCCATACCCGCCACCCCACAGCTCGCGGCCCCCTCAGGAGCCGCGACAGGCGACGGGAAATGGGGGGGAGGGGGGGGGGGGGGGGGGGGGGGGGGAGGCGGTGTGGTGAAAGGGGGCCCACCACGGGCCTGGTTGGAGGGCGGGGCCGCGACAAGGGGCGGGGCCGCGACGAGGGGCGGGGCCGCGACGGTCGGGCAGGGCCGCTTCGAGGGACGGGGCCGCGACACAGGGCGGGGCCGCGACGTAGGGCGGGGCCGCGACGGTCGGGGCAGGGCCGCGACGTAGGGAAGGGCCGCAACGGTCGGGCGGGGCCGCGACGTAGGGCGGGGCCGTGACGGTCGGGGCGGGGCCGCGAGTGTAGGGCGGGGCCGCGACGGTCGGGGCGGGGCCGCGACGTAGGGCGGGGCCGCGACGGTCGGGGCGGGGCCGCGACGTAGGGCAAGGCCGCTTCGAGGGGCGGGGCCGCGACGCAGGGCGGGGCCGCGACGGTAGGGCAGACGCCCGCCGCGCGCCTCGAGGCGCACAGCGGGCAAAGAACCGCCGCGCGCCCCGGGGCGCACGGCGGGCAAAAAACCGCCGCGCGCCTCGGGGCGCACGGCAGGAAGGAAAACCGCCGCGCGCCTCGGGGCGCACGGCGGGAAGGAAAGGTAGCAGCGGAAGCGAGGTGGAAACCCACCCACAGGATCGATCCAAGGGGATCGACCTGCTCTGATAGCATGACAAAAGTTAGAAGAAAGAAAGAGGAATGAACTAGCAGAAATGGGGATACAAATAGCAAACCCTAGAAGGGTTGTACTCGCTATAGAGCACCCCACTACAGGCTAGAACATAAGAATAATATTCTGACAGAGTCAGTTGTGTGTCCTTGCTGTCGCGCTGTGTCAGGTCAAAGGTCGCTGACCTTTGACTTTCTCGTAACCTCCAGCGGTTACGTTAACCTCCGAGGGTTGACTCGCGGTGCTTCGATTTGAGCTGCTTCGCTTTGAGTTTCGACACGACAGAGGCGCTTAAGACTATTTGTTCCCAACACAGCATTCGACAAATTTCCGACGTGTAGTCGACTCGAAAGTCGACCAATTTGTCGACCTGAGATCGCTACAGTCACTACGCGACGTCGCCAACTCGTGCTACGCAACATGTCACACAAGTACTGCATCTGCGCTGCGACTCCTTCGCACAATCCGGCTACCCTGGCGAACTGCAAGTCTGACACATTTGCAAAGCGGCCATCAAATCGGCCACCAAATGTGTCAGATTTTTAGGCCCTGTAAATGTGGCCGGATATTGGTCGAAAGTCGACCATGTTTTCGACTTAGGCGAAAGATATAGTCGACCAAATTGTCGACCAAATTCCGGCCAAATCGCCTTGTAACGGATCTCACGCGCCAAGTCTCTGGTGCGAGGCTTCTGTTTTAAAAATTCGTCAGCCGTCGCCAAGTCACTGGTGTAACATTCCCGTCCGCGTCGTTCACTACGAACCGCAGCAAGCAGCCCTTTCACCGAGCACCACCTTTATTGACGTGCATCGTGACATCAAGTGACCCTTCGGCGGAAAGATATTGAAGGGAGTCGACCACCATTTGAATCGACCGTTTGAATTTTGACTTGCATTTGTGAGACAAATAATGACGGCAACAGCATGAACTTCTGTTGATCAGTTGAACCTTCCCAGAGCTTTAGGTCAAAGCTACTCTCTGGGGTGGAAGTTTTTAGGTCGAGGATTCAGTTCAGCTCATTACGTGTCTAATCTCTTTGACGAGCCATGGACGGACAGAGCAGCGACGCGCAATGCGCGGGTAATGGTCAGCGCGTGAGGCTGCTGGCGTTGGCGAACGCGGCCAGCAAAATGCAGATCGCGTTCGGCGAAATGGCGTCAGTTTTTCGCCTCGCCGCAGGTCCGTGCTCCAGCACTCGCACAATCGCGCGGACTGTCGCGCGGCTGCTCCCACTTCTGGCAAACTTTGTCGTCGTCGTCGTCCTGCTTGAGCGGCACTCATGCGATGTCCAAATCCCGCCGCAGATTTTTGTTTTTTTTCCAATCCGGGCTTTCACGTCCCATTTTCGTTTCGTCTAAAAAAATCTCGTTCTACACTCACTTTACGTGCCTTTGCCTCTCGTTTCTTTCAATCGCGAAGGCACTACTTCATTCGGATCATTGCGTCTGCTTCCCCTCCCTCTCCCTTTCCCACTCCTCCTTCCCCCTCCTCCCCCCCAACCCCCCCTCTCTCCCCTTCCGCCCCCATCCCCTCTCGCCGTATTCCCCTTCTTCCCCGTACTGACGGACAATGTGCTGCTGCGCCAGCTTGGCTTTTGAGACGTCTCAATTCAACCCCACCTAACCCCGCTCCCCCCTCCCCCCTTTTCCCTCCCTCTCCCTACCCTCTCTCTCCCTCACCCCAGCCGGCGTGCGCGTGCCCATGACAATCTGCTTCTGTTCCAGCTCGACTCAATTCAACCTCAAACCCCTCTCCTCCTCTCCCCTTCTCTCCCCTCACTCCCCCAGCCGGCGTGCGTGTGCCCATGGACAACCTCCTGCTGTTCCAACTCTCCGCCACTGCTCCACTCTTCGACCCTCTCCGCCTCGGCGCCCCGCAAGCTACACCTTCCCCCGCTTCCGCGCCTGCCCTCGTTGCCGCCGGTCGTCCACGCATCACGATCGTCGATTACACCCCGCCGCCGCGACACCCTCTCGCCGCCGTCACTGCTGCTGGCGCGCGCGCCGCCAACGCCCCCCGCGCGCGCCCCGCGCTCTCGGACGTCTCTCTGGCCTCCACTCTCACCACCGCCTCCCACGCTGCTCCCCACTCCCCCACTAGCGCGCGCAGAGCCTCTCCTCCCCCGTCCGGCGCGATTCCACCCCCCAGCGGACCCCTACCCCCCGGAGCAGCCGAGGGGCGGCCGCTTTCAGCGATTGAGATGGCTATGGAACAGTTCTGTGAGTATGAGAGCGGTAGGCTGATGGAGGAGACGCCAGGGATGCGGCTGGAGCAGGCTTACCGCCTGGCTGAGAGGCGGTTTGCTGAGATGACGGGGCGAACTGGGGTGAGAAGGAGAAGACGTGTGGAGGGCGGGTGGCAGGCAGTGTTGGGGACGGTGGGGGAGGAGGTGGGGGAGGTGGTGGGGGAGGTGGTGCAGGGGGAGGAAGTGAGAGGAGTGGAGGGGGAGAGGGAGGAGGTGAGCGGAGAGGAGGTGAGGGAGGCGGAGGGGGAGGGGGATGGGGAGGGGGAGGGGGAGGGGGAGGGGGAGGGGGAGGGGGAGGGGGAGGGGGAGGGGGAGGGGAGGGGGAGGGGGAGGGGGAGGGGGAGGGGGAGGGGGAGGGGGAGGGGGAGGGGGAGGGGAGGGGGAGGGGAGGGGGAGGGGGAGGGGGAGGGGAGGGGGAGAGGGAGAGGGAGGGGGAGGGGGAACGGGAGGAGGTGGAGGTGGAGGGGGAGGGGGAGGGGGAATGGGAGGATGAGGAGGGGGAGGGGGAGGAGGGGCAGGAGGAGGAAGAGGAGGAGGAGGAGGAGGGAGGAGGGGATGGGGGTGAAGAGACGGAGGAGGTGGAGGTTGGAGAGGGGGAGACGGACGAAGAGTATGAAGAGGGAGAAGACGAGAGCTAGGAAGCAGTGTGAGAGAGGAAGGCAGGCGGAAAGCAGAAGGCAGGGCGAAGGCAGGAATGCAGAACAGGGAGAGTAAATGGGGAGGAGAGCGAGGTGAAGGTGGAGGGAAATGGAAGGTGCGACTATTTGGGCCGCAGATTGATCCTTGTTGCTACTGCAGGGGATGCGCTGTGTCGGGTGTTACTTCGTGTGTGCAGCAAATGACATGCAGTGCGTTAAATACGAGTGATCTTGACTCATTTTGTTGTCCTCATCTGACATTGACATTTTGCTCTCTAAATTACTCTGCGAATCATGTTTTTCACTTCAGTTTAATAAGCATATATGTGGTGTATGCAAATGTGCGGAATATGCTTCTGAAATGAGGTTCTGAAACGCATTTCAAATGGGTTTGCTTGCTTGCTCGGAACGTCAGCACTTGAGCGTCTGGAGCGTCGCATCTGCGGTGTAACTCCAGCAAGCAACCCATGGTTGCCACCTGGCTCCAGCTGGCGGCTCGGGGAACCACGTAGGCTCCAACCAAAACCGCATGTGTGATTCGTCAGCCAGTCGCATGGACATTGACTCTCGTATGACATGGTCTTACGAACCTCGGCTTCCCGCGTTTCTTGCCCTGGTTCGGAGGTCAGCGGTTCGGTTCAACCAGGCCTGTCTCGTTTGCGTGTCTGCTATGTCAAATCTCTCGTGGGCTTCCAAGACTACACGTAGTTCAATAGCCGAACCTCTCTCATCCGGCTCGACAAGTGTGGCTCCTCCAATCACGTGCGCAAACCGAACTAAACCATATCCTCGTTGCTGCCGCACCCACACTCACACCCCACCCCAGCTTTCAACTGAATTGCAGGAAAAGCAACTTGGAACTATCAGTCCCCGACTTGTTTGTGCTAACTTAGTTGCATGCGCTACGTGTTAGCTTCGGGAACTTCCTGCTTCATTATCTAACCTCGGCGTTTCTGCTAGCGGCGAGGCTTGCGAATCGTTACTGACGAGATTCCAGCCTGGCCAGTCAGCTCACTTCACTAACGGAGCCTCGTAGCTAACAGCGCTCTTATCGTGTCGCGGTTCGCGAATTTCGCACAGGAGTGTTACCGCGGGACTGGCGATGGCGGCACGCGTTGCGCCATACTCGGAGACGGCGGGGCCAGCTCTTGAGACGTCTCAAAAGACGGCTGGGCCAGCTGTGCAATCACCCGATACAAAGCCGCCGCACCTCCAACCGAAGCGCGCTGTTGAAACTACCGAGACCGGCGGCGCGAAGGCGGGAGTGGCGAAGGCAGGCGGCCCAGCGGCGGACGCGTCGCTGGCGGCGCGGTTCGCGGCGGCCCGGTACATGCCGGGATTCGGCAATCAATTCGAGAGCGAGGCGCTGCCCGGCGCGCTCCCCGCGGGGCGCAACAACCCGCGCGTGTGTCCGTACGGGCTGTACGCGGAACAGCTCACGGGGACCGCGTTCACTGCCCCCCGCAAGGAAAATCAGCGCAGGTGGGCAAAGGGGGAAGGGGAGTGGGGCGAAAAAATCCGCGCGTGTGTCGACTGTAGGCGGAGCAGCTGACAGGAACCGCGTTCACCGCTCTGCGCGAGGAGAACCAGCGCAGGTAGGCGGAGGGGGGGAAAAGGGAGGGGGGGATGAAGGAGGTGGGCGGAGGAGACAGAGGAGAGGAGAGAGGATAGGAGAGTTGACGAACAAGAAGTAAGCTCTATCACTCTCTCGCCCTGTCTCTCTCTCGCCTATGCTCACATGCCCACGTTCTTCCCCGCCTGGCCCTCACGGATGGCTGCACCGCATCAAGCCTGCACCGCATCAAGCCTGCACCGCATCAAGCCTGCACCGCATCAAGCCTGCACCGTGTCAAGCCATCCTTGACGCACCAGCTCTCTACAGTGTGTGGAAGGTTATTGAGATTTCCCAAATCTCCCTTACCCTTCCCCTCCCCCCCTTCCCTCTTCGCCCTTCTCAATCCCCCCCTTCACCCCACCCCTTCGTTTCCCGCTTTCCTCCCCCTACCCTCCCCGACCCCCCTACCACCTCCCACTCCTCTCCACCCCTTCCCACCCCCCACAGCTGCCTGTACTGTATCAATCCCTCCAGGGCCCGCCAGCCTTTCATCGCATGAGGGAGAACTTTCACAATACTCACAAGCTCCTCTCACTTCCCCCCACACTCTCTCCCCTCTCCTCTTCCCCTTTCCCCCCCTTTCCTCCCCCCTCTTCCTCCGCTGTATCGCATCAAGCTCTCAGTGACCCACCCGCCCTTCACTACGTGCCTGGAGCACCGCAGCAACCCCCTCCTTGTGACCGCCCCCCAACCGCCTTCCGCCCTTCCCTCCCCCCCCCCAGCTGGCTGTATCGCATCATGCCATCAGCGACCCACCAGCCCTTCACCTCATGCCCTCCGCTCCGCAGCAACTCCCTCCTTGTAACCTTCCCCATCTCCCACCCACCTTCCTCCCTCCCTCCCCCTCTTCCCCAGCTGGCTGTATCGCATCAAGCCCTCAGTGACCCACCAGCCGTTCACCCCGTGCCCTCCACACCGTGTGCAGCAACCCCCAATCATGCCATGCCATGGCCTTCACTGCACTGCACACGATAAGAATCTCTCTCCCACACTCGTCCCCACTCCCTTCTTCCCTCTTCCCCCACTCCAACCCCCCATCCCCAGCTGGTTGTACCGCATTAAACCGTCCGTTACCCACCAGCCGTTCACCCCGTGCCCTCCGCACCGCAGCAACCCCTGAATCGTGCCGTGGCTCTCACTCCACTGCACACATTAAGATATCTGATTACTCCCTTCCCCACTCTCCCCTTCCCCCTACCCCCACTCCCACCCCCATCCGCAGCTGGTTGTACCGCATTAAACCGTCCGTTACCCACCAGCCGTTCACCCCGTGCCCACCGCACCGCAGCAACCCCCTTCTCGTGAGCGACTTTTCTGCCGGCAGCTCTGCAAGCGAGGCAACACCGAACCAGCTGCGCTGGCGCGCCATGCCTGTGCCGGGCCTGGAGGTTCGGCAGGTGGACTGGGTGCAGGGTCTGGTTACCGTGTGCGGGAGTGGCGGCGCCGCAGATAAGACGGGCTTCGCCATCCACATGTATGACTAGCTGTGCTTTGCTTTTTCCAATTGTTGCTGTGCATCTTTGTTTCTTGGATTCTCCTTTTCAGCCCTTCACACCTTCAACCACTCACCTCCTCCTCATCCCGTCCTCATACCGTCTTTACCCCCTCCTCACCCCCTCCCCACCACTTCCTCACCCCCTCCACTTTTCAACCCCTCCTCGCAGCATCCACACACCCTCAACCCGCTCACTCTTTCACGCCCTCACGAGCTCTCGCCCTCACCCTCCCTCCCTCTCCCCCTCTGCTCCGTCTCCCTCTCACACTTCCCACTCGCACACTCTGTTCGCTCCTTGCCTATCTCCACCCACCCTCCTCACGACTCTCCCTTCCGCTAGCTTTATCCAGCCCTATTAAACGCATGAAGTGAGTGTGTCTTGTTTGTGCATGGCATGGCATATCATCATGGCATGGTATATCATTTCAACATCCTGGCGTGAAGTCATTTCGTCATTATGACATGGTATCACGTGGCATGACATGTGTTTGACATGACATGTGTTTGGCATGACATGTGTTTGGCATGACATGTGTTTGGCATGACATGGTATCACGTGGCATGACATGTGTTTGGCATGGCATCATGGCATTGTGGCATGGCACGGCATGGCGTAACATGGGACGGCATGGCATGGAATGACGTATCATCACGGCACGGCAGGTACGCAGCCAACAGCAGCATGGAGCGATGTGCATTCGCCAATGCGGACGGGGATATGCTCATCGTTCCGCAGCACGGCCGTGAGTCTCCATACCTCACTCCTCCATCCATGCCCCACAGCATGCCCCACAGCATGCCCCACTGCACGGGCCTCCCATGCCCTCCCTTTCATGCCCTTCTCATTCATCCGATGCGGACGGGAACCTGCCTGATTGTGCTGCAGTACGGCCGTGAGTTCCCATGCCCATTCTATGCTCCACTGGACCACTGCCCCATGCCCCATGTCCCATAGCATGTGCCACTGCATAGCCCTTTCATCCAAATTCCGATGCGGACAAATCAGGGACCTGCTGATCGTTCCATAGCATGGCCGTGAGTTCCCTTCATGCCCTCTTGCTTGTGCTCTGAATGATCAGTATTGGGACCACGAAAAGGGTACGCGCAGAACTTAAATACCTTGCCGGGACCCGGGTTTGCTCCATCAATGACCATCAATGTGCTGTTCTGCCACTAGACTACTGGCACACGAGCCATGGGACGTTGTTTTATTACACATATGTATGGAGCAGCATCACGGACATGCACAAGTGCGAAGAAAAATGTGGAAAGTTATTTTTAGAAAAGACGGGTGAGTTTATGCAGGGACAAAAAACAGCTACGCGGCAAAATGTGGACATGTGCCAGCCGGGAATCGAACCCGGGTCTGCACCGTGCTGAGGTGGCAGGGTGCTATTCTACCACTAGACCACTGGCACTCAATTGGGTGACAAGTGGCCTCACTGGCTTATCCACTCCGTGAAGCGACTTCCCAGGACCTATAGGGCCCATGCGCGCCTTCGCCCTCTCCCCCACGCCCCCATGCCCCATTCCCCCATCCCCCCCTTCTCCCCTACCTTACCCCCGCAGACCTGTAGGTGACAACGGGATTCGGCCTGCTGGCAGTGCCACCAGACGATATAGCAGTGGTGCAGCAGGGGGTGCGCTTTTCCCCTATGGAGGTGACTTCTGAGTCAACTCAAAGGTCACGTGGTGGAGCAGGGGGATGCCCTTCTCCCCTATCCAATGCCCCCACTTTCCCACTCCTCACACCTCATTCCCCCATCCACGCCCCGTCCCCCCCTGCAGGTCTGTGGGTGACATTGGAGTTTGGGCTGCTAGCAGCGCGTTAAGGCGAGATAGCAGTGGTGCGGTTCAGCAGGGGGTGCGCTTCTCCCCAATTTCAATACCCCCAATGCCCCCATGCCCCCCGCCCAACCCCCACGCCCCACTCCCTCAGGCCTGTGGATCACAACGGAGTTTGGGCTGCTGGCAGTGCGCCCAGGCAAGATAGCAGTGGTGCGGTTCAGCAGGGGGTGCGCTTCTCCCCAATTTCAATACCCCCAATGCCCCCATGCCCCCCGCCCAACCCCCATGCCCCACTCCCTCAGGCGTGTGGATCACAACGGAGTTTGGGCTGCTGGCAGTCCACCCGGGCGAGATAGCAGTGCTGCAGCAGGGGGTGCGCTTCGCAGTGCATCTGCCTGACGGCCCCTCCCGGGGCTACGTCTGCGAGGTGTATGGAGGGCATTTCCAGCTGCCAGAACTTGGACCAATTGGTAAGTTGCACACTTCTCAGCCCCATCGCAGCAGGGGGTGCGCTTCGCAGTACACCTGCCTGACGGCCCCTCCCGGGGCTGTGTGTGCGAGGTGTATGGGGGGCACTTCCAGCTGCCTGAACTCGCCCCGATTGGTGAGGCTTCTGACTTCACTCGAACTTCAGGGGCGATGGGCTAGGGGCTATGTGTGCGAGGTGTGTGGAGGGTCTGAACTGCCAACTGCCTGAACTCGGACCTATAGGTAAGGCTCTTGACTTGAGTCAACTCTACGTCCCAGAGGCAGTATGTGCGAGGCGTGTAAGGGTCACTTCCTACTGCCTGAACTCGTCCCTATCGGTGAGACCTCTCCATACCTCCCAGGTGCCCCCTATCCCCCACCAGGCGCCAATGGGTTGGCCAACCCACGTGACTTCCAGACGCCCACCGCATGGTTTGATGATCTCAATGCTGCTACTGGCTCATCACATGCCTCCCTGTGTCTCTCCTCCACTCCTCCCCTCTCCTCTCCACTCCTCTCTATGACTTCCATGCTCCCCCAACCCCCCCCCACCAGGCGCCAATGGGCTGGCCAATCCACGTGACTTCCAGACGCCCACCGCATGGTTTGATGATCACATGGCAGTTGCTGGCTCACATACCTCTCGCCACTCCTCTCCAATCCTCTCCACTCCTCTCCACTTCTCTACGTGCTCTCTGTACCCACCACCAGGTGCCAATGGGCTGGCCAATCCACGTGACTTCCAGACTCCCACCGCGTGGTTCGAGAATGGCGCCGCTCCTGCTGGGTTGGATGCGGTGCAGAACGGTGGAGCAGGGATGGTGCAGAGCGGTGGAGGAGGGTACGTGGTGGTCCACAAGTTTGCAGGGCGGCTGTTTGAGGCGAGGCAGGACTTCTCACCCTTCAATGTGGTGGCATGGCATGGCAATTACGTTCCCTACAAGGTGAGCGCTGCACACTGGTAGGTGAGCGCTGCACGCTGGTAGGTGAGCAGTGCACGCTGCAATGCTTTCCTTTGAGCCGACTCATCTCGCCTTTTAACGTCGTGGCATGGCAACTACGTTCCGTACAAGGTGAGGAATCCAAGAATGCCCTGACCGCACCTGCCATGATGCCATCATTGCCACTTCTCGCCCATGTATGGGAGCCACTTTAGAGAACACTCAATAGTGCCTCCCATAAAGCAAGACTTCTCGCCCTTAAACGTTTTGGCATGGCATGGCATGGCATGGCAACTATGTCCCTTACAAGGTGAGCACTCTGCACCGTTTGTTTGGGCACTCAATGCTTCCTTTACAAGGCGAATATTTAGCTGAGTCAAAAGTCATCTTCCTATGATTGCTCCGCACGGACGTTCTGTCCACACATGGCATGGTAACTACTACGTTCCTTACAAGGTGACCCACCCTGTACTGCTAGGAAGCTCTCTACTTGCTTTTGGAGGTGACTAATGAGTTTGACTCAAGTGTCCCACACGTGGCCCAAAAATTGATAGTTCAACTCATTAGTCACCTCAACATGTTCCGTCAGCATCACTTGACTCAAGCGATTCCCGAGGTGACTTTTGAGTCGACTCAAAAGTCACCTCGTCAGCATCACTTGACTCAAGTGATTCCCTCCACACGTGAACATGACAGCCCCATGAATGCCGTGGCATTCGCCGCCAATCCCCTGTACCCTTGTACCCCTGTATCCCTTCCCCCCTTGCCCCCCATTCCCCCTGCGCACCGTACACACAGTACAACCTGACTCGCTTCTGCCCCATGAACGCCGTCGCATTAAACCGTCTCTCCTCACCCTTTCTACCATCCTCTCCACCCCCACTCTCCTCACCCTTTCTACCATCCTCTCCACCCCCACTCTCCTCACCCTTTCTACCATCCTCTCCACCCCCACTCTCCTCACCCTTTCTACCATCCTCTCCACCCCCACTCTCCTCACCCTTTCTACCATCCTCTCCACCCCCACTCTCCTCACCCTTTCTACCATCCTCTCCACCCCCACTCTCGTCCCTCTTTCCCCCTGCCTGCATACCTCACAGTACGATCTGACTCGCTTCTGCCCCATGAACGCCGTCGCATTCGACCATCCCGACCCCTCCATCTTCACAGGTGCGCTCCTCTCCACCCGCACTTGACCCCACCACCAACTGCACCCTCCTCTCCATCACCTGTACCTCTCGCCCCCTGCCGGCTGCCCACCACGTTTTGTGCTCCCACCCTCCACTATCCCCATTCCACGCATGGATCACCCCATTCTATCCCATTCTATCCCATTCCACCCATCGATTATCCCACCCCCCGCTCCCATTCTCTCTCCTCAGCCACTTCTTACTCTTCAACTCATCTCCCTGCCTCCTACCGTCACCCCTCCTCTACTCCACCCACTGTTCTCTCTTTTGCTCCCCCCGTCACCAACCCCCTGCAGTGCTCACCTGCCCCATCACGCGTCCTGGAGTGGCAGCGGTTGACCATCTGCAGTGGTGGGATGGACTTGGTGCGCTTCCCACCACGCTTGGCCATCTGCTCTCCACACCCTGCCGTCTCCTCCCCTACCCTCCTGCTTGCAGAGCTCACGTGTCCCAACACACGCCCAGGGGTGGCAGCGGTTGACTTTGTTTTCTTTCTGCCGCGCTGGGCAGCGTGACGTGACCTCCATCCCAGCCTTCCTCCTCTCTCCCACTCTTTCTTGCCCCCGAACCACCCTTGCAGTGCTCACCTGCCCCACCACCCGCCCAGGGGTACCAGCCGTTGATTTTGTTCTCTTCCGCAGCGCGGGGCCGTGGCAGAGGGCACGTTCCGCCCGCCCTACTTCCACCACCATCACCCCCTCCCGTCAATCCCTTCCCCTACTTCCTGCCTGCCCTACGTTCACCCTCTCTTTCCCTGCCAGCCATCTTCCGTCCACCCGAGCCTCCTACTCTCACCCTCCTCTTCTCCATCCACTCTCCCCTCCTTTCCTGCTCCCTCCAATCTCCTGCAGTGCTCACCTGCCCCACCACACGCCCAGGCGTGGCAGCAGTTGACTTTGTTCTCTTCCCCCCGCGCTGGGCTGTGGCGGAGGGCACGTTCCGCCCGCCCTACTTCCACCGCAACTGCATGAGTGAATTCATGGGGCTTATAACGGGGATGTATGAGGTGAGCTTGTGTGCCTTATAACGGGGGTGTACGAGGTGAGTTCGTTCAGGGGCTTATAAAGGGGACGCACGAGATGAGAGGTGGAGGGAACGTTTTGCCTGCCCTACTTCCACTGCAACTGCATGAGCGAGTTCATGGGGCTTAAAACGGGGACGTATGAGGTGATTTCATTTATGGGGCTTATAAAGGGGATGCGAGAGGTGAGAGGTGGAGGGTACATTCCGCTCACCCTACTTCCACCGCATTGGCATGAGCAAGTTCATGGGGCTTGTATGGGTGAGGTGAGGTGGTGGGGTGGCCGTATGAGGTGAGTTTATGGGGCTTATAGCGGGGACATGAGGTGAGGTCATTCATGGGATTATAACGGGGGTGTACGAGGTGAGGTCATGGGGCTTGTAACATTGATGCCTTAGATGGAGTCAGGTCATGGGGCTTGTAACATTGATGCCTTAAATGGAGTCAGGTCATGGGGCTTGTAACATTGATGCCTTAAATGGAGTCAGATCATGGGGCTTGTAACATTGATGCCTTAAATGGAGTCAGGTCATGGGGTTTGTAACATTGATGCCTTAAATGGAGTCAGGTCATGGGGTTTGTAACATTGATGCCTTAAATGGAGTCAGGTCATGGGGTTTGTAACATTGATGCCTTAAATGGAGTCAGGTCATGGGGTTTGTAACATTGATGCCTTAAATGGAGTCAGGTCATGGGGTTTGTAACATTGATGCCTTAAATGGAGTCAGGTCATGGGGTTTGTAACATTGATGCCTTAAATGGAGTCAGGTCATGGGGTTTGTAACATTGATGCCTTAAATGGAGTCAGGTCATGGGGTTTGTAACAGGGATGTATGAAGTGCGTTGGTGGATTTCTAAAGGTGGGCTTTGAGGTGACTGCAATCATGGCCTTCTTACGGAGCGTATGAGGTGAATGTATGCGCCATGTAATTTGGATGTTTGAGGCCATATGTTGGGCCTTCATTGCATTTTTTACCACATAGTTGGTTCTACCATGCCCTCACCCCCACCCTCCTCCTCTCATCTACCCCTTCCCCTCCGCTCCCCCTCCCACCCCCTCCCTCCCCCTCCCCCTCCCCCTTCCCCTGAAACCCCCTCCGTTGTCCCCCTTGCTGGGAGACGTTCAGGCCAAGGCGGAGGGCTTGGGCTTTGAGCCGGGGGGAGCAAGTCTGCACGGCTGCATGACGCCCCACCCTCACTCCTACCCACCCACTTCATGCTTACCCTCTCCCTCTCACCTCCTCTCACATCTCTCCGTCTCTCCCTTTCCGACCATACGGTCAGGCCAAGGCGGAGGGCTTTGAGCCGGGGGGAGCGAGTCTGCACAGCTGCATGACACCCCACGGCCCCGACACCGCCACCTTTGAGGTGAGAAGGGGTGTTGGCTCTAGTGCTGCCTTCAGTACTGCCTTTGATGTGTATGCATGAATGCCGCCGTGTCTGCACAGCTGCATGACACCCCGCGGCCCTGACATCGCCACCTTTGAGGTGAGAAGGGGTGCTGGCTCTAGTGCTGCCTTCAGTACTGCCTCTGATTTTGTAAATGTGCTTCCACGTCTGCACAGCTGCATGACGCCCCATGGCCCTGACACTAACACCGCCACCTTTGAGATGCGAGGGATGCCTATTCCTTGGTCGTACTGCCGTGAATGTGCCTATGTGCTCCTAGTCTAGCCATGCTTCCATCAGTGCTGGCTTCACTTGTATTGTGCTGCCTAGTCTGCACAGCTGCATGACGCCCCACAACCCCGTCACCGCCACCTTGGAGGTGAGAAGGGGTGTTGGCGTTAGTCCTGTGGAGTGCACTGTCCTCCTCACCCACCCCACTCCCCAACCCGTGACGCCCCTCACCCCCAATACAGCGGGCCGTGGCAGAGGAGGGCGACAGCAAGCCGGAACAAGTCCACAAGGGCTCGCCGGCGTTCATGCTGGCTGTCGTGCTTCACACCACGTGTCACACACACCATGCTCAACTCGCCCCTGCCCGGTGCTTCTTTTGTGCATGCCACTTCCTGAGCATTGTCTTCTGGCCCTCCACGCCCTGCCCCCCTGCATATCTCTCTCTCCCCCAATGCAGCGAGCCGTGGCAGAGGAGGGAGACAGCAAGCCGGAACAAGTCCACAAGGGGTCACTGGCGTTCATGCTGGAGTCGTGCTTCACACCGCGCGTCACACACACCATGCTCAACTCGCCTCTGCTGGATGCCGATTACTACCAGTGCTGGCAGGGCCTCCGCTCGCACTTCACGGGCCTGTCAACCTGAGCTTGTGTACATTTTACATCCGTCATTTTTGGGTCGACTCTGAAGGGATCGCTTGCGTTCATTCAAGAGTCGTGCTTCACACCGTGCATCGCAGAGACCACGCTCAACTCGCCCCTGCTAGACGCCGAGTAGTACCAGTGCTGGCAGGGCCTCAGGTCGCACTTCAGGGGCCTGTCAGCATGATCGTGTGTACATTCTGCGCCCATCCTCTTTTGTGCATAGTGTATATAGTGTTCCATGTTATTTCGAATGTATGATGAGTAATGTTGGATTGAATAGAAGGCTATCATTTCTCTTATTTGAGTAGGGCAGACTCGCAGGGCATCAATGTACATAATATGCACAAGAACATGGTTCATTCCAGAATCCATATTGTGGTGACATGTTTGGCCATGAGGTTTCATGTGTCTGCAATCGATACAATAAATTTTAGTTCTAAAATTGCTCTATAGTTTCTGTTAATATGCAACAGCTCCCCTTTCTTACATATCGCAGACTGTCGAGATCTCTTCGCGAGATGTTCACGACGAATGTCCAGTTGTACCCGCCTCAAGTGTCGCTCGCCAAATCAACTATTCTCGACATGCACGAATGTACTCTACACTTGTCGCCAAACCCTTCCCTCTACATTGTTTCCCTTGCGCCAAACGCGCGAGCTGAGAGCAGCGGCATTCTTCTCCAACGCGCTGCAGCTCACAGCCGCTGACTTCCCCGTCAATCCGACGATTGTTGCAAAATCTGATATCCGACGAGCACCCAGCCTCGCAACGTCTGCGATCATGCATGCACGAGTTTTACGCTGCGCGAGATTGAGAGTCGCTTCTCTTCGATGCCCGTGCTACTCTTTCCAGCCACCCCGTCCCACGCCTTCCAGGCTCCTGTCTTCGCGAGATGTTGGCGATATCTCTTTAGTCGTATGGAGATGCGTGTGACATTGCGATGCACGCTTTAAGTTACCGGTACTAGATGATACCCTAGTAGGGTCTGTCCATTTGTTCGGGCCAGCATTAACCGGTCGGTACCTGTTGTTTCGTTGGCATCTCGTTGATCACGACGTATGTCACGACGTGGAAGAATGTCACGACGAATTCATGTAGTCACGATGGATGGATGAGTGAGTGTTGCACTCATGCCTCTTTCCAAGTTTGCGGTCTTCACGGTGGTGTCTTCCCTTCATCGTTTCCCCGCTCGTTTTCGAATCCTCCCTCTTCTTTTGCACCGATCCAGTCCAGAGGACCACAGGAACGGCCGTTATGGGTCGTCAAGGTGTGTATGCAATTGGGGAGGGTATCCACTTTCTATTATCTGATGGTCGCTAGGTTCCATTTCCACGTAGAATGTACTACATTCTACACTGAAAAAACTTGTGGTTCCGTTTCTGTTCGTTGCTTCCTGCTCACTCTTCTTCTTGCACTTGTGCAGGAAACGAGCTTCCAAGGTCTTTTTACCTGAGCCACCTAGGTGGGTCGCCTCTGGTCTTAGTAGAAGCTGATAGTTTCCATGCATCATCACGAGCATGTCACTGAAAAAAATACTTCTAGTGCTTTATGTTGTCCTGTACTTGCTTCTTTCGGATTTGACACATGCACTGGTTTTTTCCCCGTTCTTTTGCATGTGTGCTAAATAAGTCAGGGAAGCTAAGGATTCCCACCTTTCCTCCAAGCTTAAGGACCTTTTTGACCGAGAGAAGTTCACAAATGTGGTTTTTGAGGCTTGCGATGGTATTACGATTCGTGCACACCGCAGCATCGTCGCCATGTGGTAATGTTTCAACGAAGCATGGTATGTAGTGGTAATGCAGCTCTCTCTCATTCTTCTGTAAATTATATAATGGTGTACATATTATGTGTTTTCCGTTCAGGTTGACAGTGTTACAGTCAATGATAGAGGAAGCGGGGGATGAGAGGGATCCAGTATTCAGGCTGTCTGATATGGATGGCTGCACGCTAAGGCTGCTTCTGTTGTTCATGTATGGCTGCTCGGACGTGCTCTTTGATGCTGATGCTCTCAAGGTATGTGCCAATTACATGATGCATTTACAAACACACAACACTGTCCTTGAGCTGTGTGGTGGCCCTTATCACTTGCGGTTTCAACTAGACTGTTGTTTAATAGACATGCCGCATGCGGCTGCTTCCCATTGGCCACCTGTTCATGGTGTTCTTTTCTCATGTCGTCAGCATCATGGCGTTGCACTACTAGAAGCTGCGCATAAGTAAGTATGACGTGGCTGATCTAGCACAGAACCTGGACTGCCAATTGTCCACATTAGAAGTGGATGAGCGCTCACTTCTTCGTGTGCTAAAAGCTGTGGATAGGGTTGGCGCAGCACAGACAAAACAGGCCTTGATGCAACACATTTTGCACTTCATGGATGCCAAGAGCTGCCAAGGGCTCGTGAAAGTAATGCCATGTGCGATTTAGTTTGCATATAGTGTTGCTTGCCATATTGCATCACTCTGACATTGATGATGTTTCGTCATCATACTAAGGGTACATTCCGCTGTGGATACATGTCCCAATCGATGTGTCCCAATCGTTTCTACCGCACTGCATCGTATTACACCAAATTGCACCCTTAGTTTCGAAATTTTCGCATCTCTGGTTTAGTTCGGTTCGGAGCGGTATACTCGATTGGGACACATCGATTGGGACATGTGTCCACAGCGGAATGTACCCTAACCAGTTCCTGCATGCCTCCAGGAAATGATTGAGAGCAGTGATATGCATGACAGGCGGTTGGCGACGGAGCTTGTTGCTGCTGTTTGGCGAAACAACTAATCAACCAACGACAAGTAGTGTTTTCGGTACACTGTGAATGCTATTGCATTTTGCATTGTAAATACTGGCCATATTGTCAGAGCTTGTTCAGACCATCTTGTAGAGCATGCTTCATCCAGGCATGAATACACTCTTGACACACCTTACTTAAAGCAAGGGTGCACATCTGTAGGGTTGGTTTTTGGCGGCATTGTTAGGGTACACCCTTTGATGCCTGCTGATTCGTTGGCGAAGTGTCCAAGAATTGTAAAGCTGGTGCGAGCTGCACAGCCAAGATGTCGAGAGTACCCCGCACAACTCCGCCAACACTGAATATTTGTTCGTGTCTGACCCCCAGCCACAAAATATTTGTTCGTGTCTGACCCCCAGCCACAAAATATTTGTTCCTGTCTGACCCCCAGCCACAAAATATTTGTTCGTCTCTGACCCCCAGCCACAAAATATTTGTTCGTGTCTAACCCCCAGCCACAAACTGGGTAACCACGTGGAGGCAAGCAGGCCCTCAGATTCACTTTGAGGCACGTAAGGGTATCAGGGTCCCTCTGCCCCTAGACCCTGATCGACAGGGTCGCCTAGGAAAAAAGCCTGAAAGTTCAGTGTTACTTAAATAAAAAGTCTGATGCATCAGTGTCACCTGTAGAAAAAGGCTGATAGTAGTGAAGCTGATTTTTTTTAACTTAAAACTCTATGAAGGTCGCAAACAGCCTTCAATCTATCTATCTGTGTTGTAATTTGTAAACCAAAGCCTATCTTGCTTGCTAGCTAGCTATGCATTGCATCCAGCATGACTCTGGGTCTGGGTGAGTTCAGTAATCATCATCTGATGAGGCTTGCTTGTCATCATCATCTTCTCTTCCCTTAGCCTGTCGTTCTGTCCACTCTTCCTCCTCTAGGGCCTCCTTTCCCGTGCTATCCCTGCCCTCTCCCTCTCTTTCGGGTGGTGCTGCCACATTGCCGAATGGGCGGCGCTTCTTGTAGCTGTGCCAGATCTGCACCACCTCATCGTAGTTGGGCTCGTACTCGAGTAGAGACATGGTGACGAGGTCTTCGAGGCGGGCGTCCTTCAAGCTCCCCCGCTGCCACGATTTGATAACGTTTTGGCGTGAGAAGCCGCGCTCACACTCCACTGTGCTCAACGGCAGCACGACGATAGCCACCCAGAGACGCACCAGATTGGGGTAGCTAGTCGCCCAGTCGCTTGTCTTCAGCATTGCTGATAGGCCTGCGTGGAAGCTCCGCTCGTTCTTCGGGGCACATGCGAGGATTGGGGCAGAAGGCCCGCAGCTCCTTGAACGCACGCCGCTTGTCGACCCCTGCGACATAATGCGGAAGGGAGAGAGAGGGGGTTTTTGAAAGGCTGGCAAGTGCGTACACCATACGTTGATGAAATGCAATGACACAATAAGACGGACAGCAACAGTGCGAGAGCGGGAATACCTGGAATGATGCAGTCCGTGTCCTGTGCCCTGAACAGCCTCAGAGAGACTCGAGCCACTCGAGACACTGCATGTGGCGCTCCGCTCTCCCCAGCTCCCACTCGTCAGGCATGAACAGCCGCACTCCCACCAGGGAGTCCAGGTCCTTGAACCGTGTGCTGAGGTTTTGCACGAGCGTCTCGGCGAAGGTGGTGCAGAGTTCGACGCAGGCGTCGTGGGAGCCGAGGGTTGGGTAGTCTTCGCTCGGCTTCTCGTGCTAGCTCGAAGGTGTGTGTCGTGGGCCGCCCATCCGAGTCGACTCCCTGCACCTTCACCTCGGGATTGCCCCCCTCAGGCCTGTGCTTCTTGATGAACGGGGAGAGGCGCGCGCTCACCCCGCCTCCAAAGTCGTCACCACAGTCGACGTAGCGGCACTCTAGGAATGAAATTGACCGGCGGATCTGCCCGTGGACACTTGCAATGTCCAGCTGTTAGGGGTCAACAGGGCGAACAGAGGATGGAGAGAAGGCCAAATCAGTGCAAAGCAGATTCTGCTTAAGCAGTACATCAAACAGTGACTCACAATCCGAAACAAGGCACACAATCCAGCAACGATAGTAACCAAGCTCACCTCACGCTGCTGGAATGCCCTGTTCAACACATTGAGCTGCTCGAGGACGTCTGCAAGGAAGTATAGCAGAAAGTGAAACCTGTAGCTCGTGGCGAGCTCGTAGAGGGTGCTGTCCCACTCATACAGCATCACGATCAGCACGGGGAAGACCTCTACCGCGCGCAGAATGGCGTCACCGCCGGAGAGCCAGCGGACGTCGTGGATCCCTTGTAGCTCCAGGTTTGTTTTCGTGAACACCTCCTGCAGGCTAATTGATGCCACGGGCCAGAACGCCCCAAATGCTCTGCCTCTTGGCGGAGCAGGGAGTCCACCATGCCGAACTCGGGGAGTTGTTCAGCGGCGTCCTTTGCTGCGAGGGCCTCCCTGCATGCACACTAGCATTAAAACTGGCTCAAGGAGGGGTTAGCAGGGGATGCAGTAAGGACTGTATGGAAGCAGTAAACAGAAGATGAAAACTGACATGTGGGCGATGCAGTGGCTCGAAACAAGATTGCGAGATGCGGAGGCGAAGTTGAGCGACAAGGCCGTTGTGTTTCCCCATCATCACACTCGCTCCGTCAGTGCTTATGCCGGATATCCTCGCCAGTTCAATGCCTAGGGCCTGCAGGTGGGACAAGAGCACTGAGAGGAGAGAGGCTGCATCACCCTTCTCCACGGTCAGCAGGGCAAGGAACTCAGTCACGGGGCGATTTTCACACTATGAATGTCGCGAAAACAATCATATGCTTTCCTCGACACCTGTCCATGCTTTCATCACACGTGACGCCAATGTATGGGCTGCTGAGGATGTGATGCAGTTGGGTTGTGTGCAACCATGTGGCCATCGACTGTGTCAGCTGCCCGAAGCCGTAGTTGCAGCGCATGTCAAACAACACAACGTCAGATAATCCGGCTGATTTTCACAAACACGGTTGCAGCTAGATTAATTCAACACTCACGTAGTATAATAGGTTCCGTAGCCTTTTGCTGGGAACCCGGGCACCTTGATTCGCGCGAGGTAGCGCACAAGATTCACCCATAACTCTATGGGTGCATCTTGCTTGGTCACGAAGAGCAGGGAGTCGAGGAGCTTAACGACCCGCTCCTTCTCCGTGTCGCGAGCGAGATTGTCGCCGTTGATCCATGGCTGCGTAGCGGTGTCGTCGAGAAGCTTCTGCTGGTGTTTCAACTGCCTCCTTGTGCTTGGTAGTTGCCGCATGCCAGTTTGAACGCCTGCGCCTGAACGTCTGTGGCGCCCTTTCCGCCTCTCCCGCACGATCCAGCGTAGCCTGCGTGCTCCGTACAGATGCTGCATTTGAAAGCGGGTAAACCGTCCGCTTTTTTTAGCAGAATAAGCCAAGAAAACCGCTCGAGCCTCTCGCTTTTGTACTTATACAGAGCCTCCGCGTAGGATGCGTCTGGCCCTGCTGGTTTAGAAGGCCCAGGTGTTGAGGGCGACGCCTGCGTGTCGTGCGGTCGCGGGCGTCGACAGTTGGTCGGCTGGCGAAGCCGGTGTTGCACCAGCGGGACCTCCCTTCTTGGGCCACAGCAGCGTTGACTGCGTGTACCTGGAAGACTTCTTAGCCACTGGCACCGCCGTGATTTCTTCACATGAAGGGTTGGAGCTGTCTTGCTCCAATACGGGCGCAGTAGGGGAGGGACACAGAGGCTCGACGATGGGTTCAAATTGAACATCGACGGTCGGCGCGACTGCATGCGCCTTTCCATGGTTATCTACTGCCGCTAAGTTGGAGAATAGCAGATCCAGCCCGGTAACGACTGAGAAAGTATGAACGAGAATGAATGAACTATGAGTGAACTGAGTACAAGTACTAACCCTAATTGGGTTGTACCCCTTATGGGCTACCCCACTATAGCCTACACAATAAGCACAAGCTATATGTTCTGACACACCTCCATAGGCAAAGTGGGGGAGAACAAGGGGTCACAAGACCAGTCAAGCAAAGCAAAGCAAAACAAGCTCAGGGTGGATCACAAAGTCACCACACATTCTGATCACAAGTGCAAGGCCACAAGGCCAGTTCACATGCAGGAGTACATATATATAAAGGACTAGACAAGCAAGAGCAGGTGTAAATATATGCAACAGTACAAGCAAGGTCAAGAGGTGAGCAAGTGAGGCAAGACAGGCACAAGACCCAGCTGCGTGCAGAAGCGCTGATGATCACAAGGCGCAAGTGCCTTGGCGAAGACATCAGCAGTGTTGGCCTCAGAGGCCACGTACGCAAGCCGCAACTGACCACGCTGCTGTAGCTCACAAGCAAGGAAGTAGCGAAGAGCAATATGCTTTGTTCTGTGCTCCAGTCTCTGCTCTCGACACAAGGCCAGCATGGCCTTGTTGTCTACGTACAGGACTGGAGGAGAACGAGGCTGCTCTCCAAGGTCGGTCAGCAGGTAGGTGAGCCAGCGAAGCTCCTGTGTAGCCATTGCCCCTGCGTAGATCTCAGCCTCACAACTGGAGCCGAGAACAGAGGACGAGCGAGTAGCCCGCCACGAAACAGAGCCGGAACCAAGGCTGAAGGTGTAACCCAGTGACGACCGCTGCGTAGCCTGGTCCTCAGCCCAAGAAGCGTCCGCGTGCCCAATGAGGACCACTAGACTCCGCCCTCCAAGCACTAGCCCCATGCCCGACGTACTGCACAAATAGCGCAACACCCTCTTCGCTGCAGCCATGTGCTCTGGTCGGTGTCTCCCAAGAGTAACATAGCGTGCAAGAATGCTAAGAGGGTATGCAAGTTCAGGTCGTGTGTAGGTCATCAGGTACATGAGGCAGCCAACAAGCTCTGGATACGGGCCACTCGACTCTACAGACTCATCCGAAGGCAGAGCTGAGAGCGAGTGGCGAGTAGGCAGAGGAGTGGCCTGAGGCGAGGAGTATGTGAAGCCGAAGCGCTGAAGGACCTGCTGCACCATGTGTGACTGAGTTAGGGTAATGGTGCGGCGTGCTCTGTCCCGGGTGATCTGCAAGCCAAGGTAGCTGCGCAGTTCACCCAGGTCTGTGCACGTGTGTCTCTTCTGCAGCTCGGACTTCACGTAGGCGAGTCCAGCAGTGTCAGCTATGGCAAAGACCAAGTCGTCGATGTACACGAGGATGTAGAACGGCGGCAGAGAGGTGTCGGTGCGTAGAAACAGCGACGGGTCGGTAGTAGAAGGAGCAAACCCAAGAGCCGCAAGCGTAGTCCTCAGTGTAACGTGCCACTCACGTGGCGCCTTGCGGAGACAGTAGACTGGACGCCAGAGACTCCACTGGGTACCAGGAGGAAAAGACCCAGTGAAGCCAGGTGGGCGGCGCAGCCAGATCTCCTCGAGCAGGCTGCCCTGCAAGAAAGCTGTGCTGTAGTCGAGAAAGTGCAACTCGTAGTCACGGTGAGCAGTAACGTGCAGCAGTACCTGAAGAGTGGTCATCTTCGGGGTGGGGGAGAAGGTCTGAAAGTAGTCAACTCCCTGCCGCTGAGTGAAGCCACGAGCCACGTAACGCGCCTTGAAGACAGGCGGAAAACCCGGCGGCCGCTTCACCCTGAAGATCCACATGCCACTGACGATGTTCACCCCAGGAGGGGGGACAGCGTCAACGTAGGTGCTTGTGGACTTCCAAGAAGCCATCTCTACATCCATAGCTGCCTGCCACTGAGAGGAGTAGGGACCCTCTATCGCCTCCACGTAAGAGCGCGGAGTCGGGATGTCAAGTGCATCCGGGTCTCCCTCAAGGGTAAGCAGTACGGACACGAGATGAGGTGAAGCAGCGGCCAAGCACTGGAACTCCTCCTGCCTGTCCTGAAGGACGTCCGTGCCAAGGGCACACTCACCCCCGACGGACGGAGGACAGACGGACTCAGACTCAGTGACAAGACTAGCAGTGTAGTCTAGGCGACAGCGAGCAGCAAAGTCGACGAGCTTCAGCAACTAGGGCAGACGCAGAAGTGGACTCGAAAGAAGGGTTAGTGACGACAGTAGCCAGGAGACACGTGACAGTAGGACTGGCAGCACGAAGAGAGTCCGACTCCGGGTCGGCAAAAGCAGGAAGAGAGGACTCAGGAGGAGAAGGCAAAGGGGCACGCAGAGGTGAGAAGAATTGAACGAGGATGAATGACTATGAACGAAGTGAGTACATATAGGAAACCCTAATTGGGTTGTACCCCCTATGGGATACCCCACTATAGCCTACACAAATAAGTAAGCTATATGTTCTGACACACCCCCATAGGCAAAGTGGGGGAGAACAAGGGGTCACAAGACCAGTCAAGCAAAGCAAAGCAAAGCTCAGGGTGGATCACAAAGTCACCACACATTCCGAGCACAAGTTCAAAGGCCAGAAGGCCAGTCCACATGCAAGAGCATATAGAGAGATATACAAGAGTCAAGCAAGCAAGAGCAAGAGTATATATAGGTGAAGGTACAAACAAGGTCAAGAAGTGAGCAAGTGAGGTAAGACAGGCACAAGACCCAGCTGCGTGCAGCAACGCTGATGATCACAAGGCGCAAGTGCCTTGGTGAAGACATCAGCAGTGTTGGCCTCAGAGGCCACGTACGCAAGTCCCAACTGTCCACGCTGCTGTAGCTCACGAGCAAGAAAGTAGCGGAGAGCAATGTGCTTTGTCCTGTGCTCCAATCGCTGCTCTCGACACAAGGCCAGCATGGCCTTGTTGTCTACGTACAGGACTGGAGGAGAACGAGGCGGCTCTCCAAGGTCGGTCAGCAGGTAGGTGAGCCAGCGTAACTCCTGTGCAGCCATAGCCCCGGCGTAGATCTCAGCCTCACAACTAGAGCCGAGAACAGAAGACGAGCGGGTAGCCCGCCACGAAACAGAGCCGGAACCAAGGCTGAAGGTGTAACCCTACGACGACCGCTGCGTAGCCTGGTCGTCAGCCCAAGAAGCGTCTGCGTGCCCAGTGAGGACCACTGGACTGCGCCCTCCAAGCACTAGCCCCATGCCCGACGTACTGCACAAGTAGCGCAATACCCTCTTCGCTGCAGCCATGTGCTCTGGTCGGTGTCTCCCAGGAGCAACATAGCGTGCGAGAATGCTAAGAGGGTATGCAAGGTCAGGTCATGTGCAGGTCATCAGGTACATGAGGCAGCCAACAAGCTCTGCATACGGGCCACTCGACTCTACGGACTCATCCGAAGGCAGAGCTGAGAGCGAGTGGCGAGTAGGCAGAGGAGTGGCCTGAGGCGAGGAGTACGTGAAGCCGAAGCGCTGAAGGACCTGCTGCACCATGTGTGACTGAAGTCAGGGTAATGGTGCGGCGTGCTCTGTCCCGGGTGATCTGCAAGCCAAGGTAGCTGCGCAGTTCACCCAGGTCAGTGCACGTGTGTCTCTTCTGCAGCTCGGACTTCACGTAGGCGAGTCCAGCAGTGTCAGCTGTGGCAAAGACCAAGTCGTCGACGTACACGAGGATGTAGAACGGCGGCAGAGAGGTGTCGGTGCGCAGAAACAGCGACGGGTCGGCAGTAGAAGGAGCAAACCCAAGTGCCGCAAGCGTAGTCCTCAGTGTGTTGTGCCACTCACGTGGCGCCTGGCGAAGACCGTAGACTGGACGCCGGAGACTCCACTGGGTACCAGGAGGGAAAGACCTAGTGAAGCCAGGTGGGCGACGCAGCCAGATCTCCTCGTGCAGGCTGCCCTGCAAGAAAGCATGTGCTGAAGTCGAGAGAGTGCAGCTTCGTAGTCACGGTGAGCAGCAACGTGCAGCAGTACCCGAAGAGTGGTCATCTTCGGGGTGGGGGAGAAGGTATGAAAGTAGTCAACTCCCTGCCGCTGACTGAAGCCACGAGCCACGTAACGCGCCTTGAAGACAGGCGCAGAACCCGGCGGCCGCTTCACCCTGAAGATCCACATGCCACTGACTATGTTCGCCCCAGGAGGGGGAACAGCGTCAACGTAGGTGCCTGTGGACTTCCAGGAAGCCATCTCTGCATCCATAGCTGCCTGCCACTGAGAGGAGTAGGGACCCTCTATCGCCTCCGCGTAAGAGCGCGGAGTCGGGATGTCAAGTGCATCCGGGTCTCCCTCAGGGGCGAGCAGTACAGACGCGAGATGAGGTGAAGCGGCGGCCAGACACTGGAACTCCTCCTGCCTGTCCTCAAGGACGTCCGTGCCAAGGGCACACTCACCCCCGACGGACGGAGGACAGGCAGACTCAGACTCAGCGACAAGACTAGCAGCGTAGTCTAGACGACAGCGCGCAGCAAAGTCGAGGAGCTCAGTGACAAGGGCAGAAGCAGCAAAATTCTCGAAAGAAGGGTCAGTGACAGCAGTAGCAAGGAGACGCGTGACAATAGGACTGGCAGCACGAAGAGAGTCCGACGCCGGGTCGGCAAGAGCAGGAAGAGAGGAAGCAGGAGGAGAAGGCAAAGGGGCACTCAGAGGAGCAGTGGACGGACGCAGAGACATCCGGTGCGTGCCAGGGACAGGAGGAGGACGCTGACGCGAACTGCGACCACTAGTGCGTGCAGTATGAACAGGCGACGCAGGACGAGACGCAGGCTCACGACGCTCAGTAAGACCTCCAGTAGGACCAGCGTAGGGAGAAGGAGCAGGCAAAGGGGAGGCAGGCTGTAGCTGTGACTGTGACTGGACCGGCTGTGGACCCTCTAAGGGAGGAGGAGGAGGACCAGGAAAAAGGTGTAAGACCAAGAACCTGCTGCAAGAGCGGAACGAAGTACGGTCGGGGCCGCGTGGCGACGCCAGAAACAGCAGGGACAGCACCTGTACCCCCAGCAGGAGTACCCGCTCCAGCGGCACCTCCAGCAGCACCTCTAGCAGCTCCAGAACCCCCAGCAGCACCAGGAGCACTGCCAGTCGGACCGCCAGCGGTAGTCTCAGCGCCAACTCCCTCAGCAGCACCAGCTCCAGGAGAACCCGCAGGCCCAGCAGCTCCAGTACCCACAGCACGAGCACCTCCGGGACGCGCGGCAGCAGCACCCTCTGCAGCCAAAGAACCTCCAGCACCAGCAGCACGCCTCCAGCGCCGGGCAAACCACTCACGCAGCTCCTGTGGGGAGAGTGGCTCTCGGCGAGACGAAGCACCTCCATGCGGAGAACCTCCACGCTCAGCACGCTCAGGCAAAGAACCTCCAGGTGGAGCACCCCCAGGCTCAGCACCCCCAGTCTCAGCACCCCCAGGCTCAGCACCCCCAGACTCAGTACCCGCAAGCTCAGCACCCCCAGGCTCAGCACCCCCAGACTGCACACCCCCAGGCTCAGCACCCCCAGGCTCAGCACCCGCAGCAGCACCAGAGTCACCAGTGACCTCGACAGGCTCGACCGCGTCTACCTGGGACACACCTGAAGGGGCAGGACCCTGAGGGGGGAGGGGGTCTACCGGGGGGGGACCTGGTACCAAGAAGAGCGAGGGCGGGGGGAGGGACGGAGTGCGGTAGGGGAAGAGGCGGTAGTAGGGTACCGACTCGTCGAACGTGACGTCCTGGGAGGACAGAATACGGCGAGAGGTGGGGTGGTAGAACTGCCACCTAGGGGCGTCGGGGGGGAACCCCAGGAAGACGCAGGGAGAAGCGCGAGGGGACAGCTTGTCCGCAGACAAGTCGCGGACAAACGCCCGAGATTCCCAGACCCGGAACGCCGACGCATCGCCAACCTTCCCCGTCCACAGCAGGGCTGGGGAGGTCTCCGGCCTGGAGACCCTGGGGTAGAGGTTGATCTGATGCGCCGCGTACCTGACCGCAAACGGCCACAGAAAATGGGGGGCAGCCCCATTGCATCATAGACGTACGAGCGACGTCCATGACCATGCCAATGCGGCGCTCTGCAATCCCATTTTGCTGCGGTGAGTCCGGAAGCGTGAAGGATCTGGCGGATGCCTCGCGCACGACAGAAGGCACGCACAAGGCCAGAGGAGAACTCTCCGCCTCTGTCCGAGTGCAGACGCAACACAGGAAAGTCCGAGCCAAAGCTCCGCCTGAGCTGGAGACGAGCTGCGCGGATCCAGTCGATCAGCACCTCAGTGACATCACCCTTGCTGCGCAAGGGGAAGACTGTGGTGTAACGCGAGTAGTCGTCAACCACCAAGCAGGAAGTAGCGCTCGTGACCGAGTCCACGGACGCGGGCAGGGCCCCACACGTCCATGTGAAGCGTCTGCAACGGAGCCTCTGTCGGAGGAAACTGGGAGGAGTGAGGGGCAGCACGCTGGCGCCCCTCGACACAGGGGACACAGGCACGGGCCAGGGCCCTGAGGAAGGGGAGGGAGGGACCGGGGGAGACCAGACACAAGAAGATGGGAGGCCATGCCTCTGAGCCGAAGCAGAGAGGGGTGACCAAGGCGGTGGTGCCAGAGGAGAGTCTCGTGAGACAGACGGCGACACGAACAGGGGGCAGACTCAGGACCAGACCTGGACGCTGCAGCAAACACCTGACTCGACGAAGGGACTCTACCAGACTCAGCACCGGGAGGAGAAGCAGTGGTCAGTGTGTACAGGCTCGACCCTGGCTGACGTGTAAATGTAGCCAGGTGGCGACCTGTGCTAGCCTCTGTGCAGTGTATCACCCGCTGACGAGCAGGAGTGAACTGGAGGACACCCACATCCTGGAGGTCAGCACCACTCACCAGGTTCGTAGAGAACGAGGGGAGATAGAGACCAGTCAGGGTGCCAGAGGGAGCCGCCGGACACGGGAGGACTGTGGAGAAACGAGACAGGACAGGACCCCCAGAGGGGTCAGCCAAGGACACCGCAACTCGCCGACTAAGCGGCGTGAGAGTGGTGCGGTCCCGAAAGAAGGAGCGAGACGCTCCAGAGTCAAGGGTGAAGGTGTGAGAGGCCGAAGCCGACACAGAACCTGAGAGGGCAGACTCACTAGTACCTGAGAGCACAGACGCACTGGCACCTAGAGCAGCAGCCTCACTAGCACCTGACGCAGCAGTACCAATGCCCGGGTTGGGCAGGAAACACCGGTAACAGTCACCCTCATCACTAACAGTCACAGCATACAAGGCAGCAAGGATAGCATCAAAGTCAAGATCAAAGATAGGTACACCAGCCCTAGACAGCTCTCCCTAGCGGGGGATCTCAGAGGCCTCCGGAAACTGCTGGCGCCAGGCGTCGGTCAAGCGGGCGAATGCAGCGGCGGGCGGTGTGGGTGCCCCCACACTGCTCACCCGCGCGGTCGCCGGTGCGAAGGACGTAGGTGCAGGGACCGAACGCCCCACCACGCTGACGCTGCAAGTACCACTCACGGAGCTGCTGAGGGGCGGGGACTTCGCGAGAGCGCTGCTGCTGCTGCTGCTTGCTGCTGCTGGCGCTGACCACCCCCAGTGCTGCTCCGCTGGGACGAGCCACTCCGACCACCTCCACCACCGCCACCCCCGCCTCCGCCGCCACCGCCGCCACCGCCACCCTCGCCCCCGCCGCTCCCACTGCCACCTCCGCCACCACCTCCGCCGCCACCTCCGCCTCCACTGCCGCCACCAGTACCTCCACTCCCGCCTCCACCCCCACCGCCACCCCCAATCCCCCCGCCGCCCCCACCTCCTCCGCCACCGCCCCCGCTAGCTCCACCCGCTCCCTTGCCCCCCTTGCTCCTTGCCAGAGCGGCGCCTACCGCTGGGGGCAGACGCCGCACCGACCGACTCTAAACCAACGAGGTCGGCCGGAGCAGCAGAGGCGACAGAGGGTAACAGGGGGGAAGGAGAACACCCCTCAAAGATGGGGGTGCGCGGGTCACCACGAGAGGCCCCTACAGCGACTATGCTCTTCTCGGCCGCTAGGAGGGACTTCTCGAGGAGGTCGACAGTGAGGGTGGTGGGACAGACAGAGAGAAACTGGTCCCTAACAGCACGAAGGGACTCAGGGAGACGGGTGACTAGAAAGTAGAGGGTGATGTACATGGGAGGGGGGTTTTCGGCGAGGAAGGCAGCAGGAAGCGCAGCTCGGTAGCGAGTGTCACTAGCGCGAAGGTGGGTAAAGAGGTCAGCGACTGTGGGAAAGGCAGCAAGGTCAAGGAAGAGGTACGGTAGCATGAGACGGCTCAGTGTAGCAGTGGAAGGGGAGGAGTAGCGCGCAACTACAGCATCGTACAAGGCCTGTGCGGTCTTGCACTGACTAAAGTGGGCACGCTCGGAGGAAGGGAGGTGGCGACGCACAGCAAGACGTGCAGCAGCATCGCGGGTGGCCCACTTGGAGCGAACAGTGGGGTCAGCATCAGCAGGAGGGGCAGGGACAGCGCCAGAGGCAAAGTCAAAGAGAGAGATGTCATCTACTGAATCGCACTGCAAGTATAGCTGTAGATCGTCGACCCAGACCGCAAAGTCAATGGCACGACCCTCAGCGTCAAAGGCCAGGACACTAGGGGTGGCCATGATAGCAGCCGACAGTCTCACCAGAGAAGAAGGGTCGAGCAGCTCAGTAGGACAGCAACACAGCAGCTCAGCAACTCCGCCGGCCCAGGAGTAGCAGCAGCCCCACAGGATCCAGTTCTCGGCACTGTAGACGACTCGGGCGGCTCGGGCGGCTCGGGCGGCTCGGGCAGCTCGTGCGGCTCGGGTGACGCGGGGGCTCACGGGCGGCGTGGGCGGCTGCACGGGCGGCTGCACGGGCGGCTGCACGGGCGGTTGCACGGGCGGTTGCACGGGCGGCGCACGGGCGGCTGCACGGGTGGCGCGTCGGGCTGCAGCACGGGCGGTGGGGCCGCAGTAAGAGAGGCGGCGGGGCCGCAATGGGGGCCGTAGCGGGGCTGCAGCGAGGCCTAAGCGGGGCCGAAGCGGGGCCGTAGCAGGGCCGACGAGGGGCTGTAGCGGGGCCGTAGCGGGGTCGGCGAGGCCGTAGCGGGGCCGTAGTGGGGGCCTAGGTGGGGCCGACGAGGCCTAAGCGGGGCCGTAGCGGGGCCTAGGCGGGGCCGACGAGGCCTAAGCGGGGCCGTAGCGGGGCCTAAGCGGGGCCTACGCGGGGCCGACAGGGCCTAAGCGGGGCCGACGGGGCCGACGTGGGGCCGACGAGGCCTAAGCGGGGCCTAGGCGGGGCCGACGAGGCCTAAGCGGGGCCGACGGGGCCTAAGCAGGGCCGACGGGGCCGTAGCGAAGCCGACGCGGGGCAGTAGCGGGGCCTAAGCGGGGCCGACGGGGCCTAAGCGGGGCTGCCGGGGCCGTAGCGAAGCCGACGCAGGGCCGCAGCGGGGCCTAAGCGAGGCCTAAGAGGGGCCGTAGTGGGGCCAAGCGGGGCCGCGACTAAAGGGCGGCGGGATCACGTAGGTAAGGGCGACATGAAGGGTCGCTAAAAAAAAAAGAACGCGCGCCTCGGGGCGCGCTTCGGTGGGCCCTATGAACAGTCCCTAGGAGGGGACCTGCTCTTATTCCATGAGAAGAATTGAACGAGGATGAATGACTATGAACGAAGTGAGTACATATAGGAAACCCTAATTGGGTTGTACCCCCTATGGGATACCCCACTATAGCCTACACAAATAAGTAAGCTATATGTTCTGACAAGAGGAGCAGTGGACGGACGCAGAGACATCCTGTGCGTGCCAGGGACAGGAGGAGACGCTGACGCGAACTACGACCACTAGCGCGAGTAGTACGGACAGGCGACGCAGGGCGAGACGCAGGCTCACGACGCTCAGTAAGACCTCCAGTAGGACCAGTGTAGGGAGAAGGAGCAGGCAAAGGGGAGGTAGGCTGCAACTGCAACTGTTACGGGACTTGCTGTGGACACTCTAAAGGAGGAGGAGGACCAGTAGAAGGCGGAAGACCAAGAACCTGCTGCAGGAGTGGAACAAAGTACGGTCGAGGCCGCGCGGCGACGCCAGACACAACATGGTACAGCACCAGTACACCCATGGCGGAGGACCCGCTCCAGCTGCACCTCCAGCAGCGCCAGAACCTCCAGCAGCACCAGGAGTACACGCAGCAGGACCGCCAGCAGTAGTCTCAGCTCCAACACCATCAGCAGCACCAGCTCCACTCGCACCCGCAGGCCCAGCAGCTCCAGTACTCCCAGTACGAGCACCTCCGGGACCCGCGACAGCAGCACCCTCAGTAGCCGAAGAACCTCCAGCACCAGCAGCACGCCTCCAGCGCCGGGTAAACCACTCGCGTAGCTCCTGTGGAGAGAGTGGCTCCCGGGGAGACGAAGCACCCAGGAGAACCTCCAGGCGGAGCACCTCCAAGCTCAGCACCCTCAGGCTCAGCACACCCAGGCTCAGCACCCCCAGGCTCGTCATGGGGGGAACCCCAAGAAGACGCAAGGAGCAGCACGAGGGTACAGCTTGTCCGCAGACAAGTCGCGGACAAACGCTCGAGATCCCCAGACCCGGAACGCCGATGCATCGCCAACCTTCCATGACCACAGCAAGGCTGGGGAGGTCTTCGGCCTGGAGACCCTGGGGTGTAGGTTGATCTGATGCGCCGCGTACCTCACCGCAAACGGCCACAGAAAATGGGGAGCAGCTGCATGCATCATAGACGTACGAGCGACGTCCATGACCATGCCAATGCGGCGCTCAGCAATCCCATTTTGCTGCGGGGATTCCGGAAGCGTGAAGGTCTGACGGATTCCTCGTGCGCGACAGTAGACTCTCAGAAGGCCAGAAGAAAACTCTCCGCCTCTCTCCGAGTGCAGACGCAGAACAGGAAAGTCCGAGCCAAAGCTCTACCTGAGCTGGAGACGAGCTGCGCGGATCCAGTCGATCAGCACCTCAGTGACATCACCCTTGCTGCGCAAGGGGAAGACTGTGGTGTAACGCGAGTAGTCGTCAACAACGAGCAGGAAGTAGCGCTCGTGACCCTGTCCACGGACGCGGGCTGGGCCCCACACGTCCATGTGAAGCGTCTGCAACGGGGCCTCTGTCGGAGGAAACTGGGAGGAGTGAGGGGCAGCACGCTGGCGCCCCTCGACACAGGGGACACAGGTAGGGCCAGGGCCCTGAGGAAGGGGAGGGAGGGACCGGGGGAGACCAGAAACAAGAAGACGGGAGGCCATGCCTCTGAGCCGAAGCAGAGAGGGGTGACCAACGCGGTGGTGCCAGAGGAGAGTCTCGTGAGACAGGAGATGACACGAACAAGGGGCAGACTCAGGACCAGACCTGGACGCTGCAGCAAACACCTGACCCGACGCAGCTACCCTACAAGACTCAACAACTGGAGGAGACGCAGTGGTCAGTGTGTACAAGCTCGACCCCGGCTGGAGGGTAAACGTAGCCAGGTGTCGGCCTGTGCTAGCCTCTGTGCAGTGCGTCACCCGCTGACGCGCAGGAGTGAACTGGTGTACTCCCCCATCTTGTAGGTCAGCACCACTCACCAGGTTCGTAGAGAACGACGGGAGGTAGAGAGGGTGCCAGAGGGAGCCGCCGGACACGGGAGGACTGTGGAGAAGTGAGACAGAAAAGGACCCCCAGAGGAGTCAGCGAGAGACACCGCAACTGGCCGACTAAGCGGCGTGAGTGTGGTGCGCTCCCGAAAGAAGGAGCGAGAGGCCCCAGAGTGAAGGGTGAAGGTGAGGGAGGCCGAAGCCGACGTAGTACCTGAGAGCGCCGACTCACCAGTACCTGAGGACGCAGACGCACTAGTACCTAGAGCAGCAGCGTCGCAAGCACCTAGGGCAGCCGCCTCACCAGTACCTAAAGCAGCAGTCTCAATGCCCGGATCGGGCGGGAAACACCGGTAACAGTCACCCTCATCACTAATAGACACAGCATACATGGCAGAAAGAATAGCATCAAAATCAAGATCATAGATGGCAACACCCGCCCTAGACAGCTCGCCCCAGCGAGGGATCTCTGTGGCCTCCGGGAACTGGTGACACCACGCGTCCGTCAGGCGGCCAAAGCTACGCTGGATGGGGTGCGCACCCCCACACTGCTCACCCGCACGGTCGCCGGTGCGCAGGACGTAGGTGCACGGACCAAAACCCCCACCCCGCTGGCGTGCAGTGTACCACTCACGGAGCTGCTGAGGGGACAGGGTCTCACGGCAGTGCTGCTGCTGCTGGCGCCGACCACCACCGGAGCCACTCCTCTGCGTAGACCCGCGACCAGCTCCACCGCCACCCCCGCCGCCTCCGCCGCCTCCGCTACTACCGCCGCCTCCTCCACCCCTGCCACCTCCGCCACCTCCGCTCCCACCGCCACCGCCGCCGCCGCCTCCGCCTCCACTGCCGCCACCGACACCTCCACCCCCACCACCACTCCCACCGCCACCCCCACTCCCCCCGCCGTCTCCACCTCCACCTCCACTGCCCCCGCTCGCTCCTCCAGTGTCCCTGCCCTTGCCAGAGCGGCGTCTCACGCTAGGGGCAGACGCCGCACCGACCGACTCAAGACCAAGGAGGTCGGCCGCAGCAGCAGAGGCAACAGAGGGCAGAAGGGGGGAGGGGGAACACCCCTCAAAGATGGGGGTGCGCGGGTCACCACGAGAGGCCCCTACAGCGACTATGCTCTTCTCGGCCGCTAGGAGGGACTTCTCGAGGAGGTCAACAGTGAGAGTTGTCAAACATTATATATGTTGTTGTAGTTGTTTAGGCTACAGTGGGTTAGCCTATAGGGGGTACACATTTCTAGGTTTTCATACTTGTACTCATTTCACTGTTAGTTCATCCATTCTTGTTCAACATGGTATAGAGCAGGTCCTTCCTAGGACCGATTTTTTTTTAGGGCCCACCACTACCTACCTACCTACCTACCTAGGCCCTAGGGCGCCTCGGCTTTCACGCCCCTAGAGGCCCCGTCGGCCCCGCGCTCTCGCTTTTAGAGGCCCCGAATCGGCCCCGCGCTTACCCCTAGAGGCCCGCGTCGGCCCCGCGCTCGTCCTTAACGGCCCCGAATCGGCCCCGCGCTTACCCCTAGAGGCCCGCGTTGGCCCCGCGCTCGTCCCTTTCGGCCCCGATCGGCCCCGCGCTCGTCCCTCACGGCCCCGATAGGCCCCGCGCTTGCCCCTAGAGGCCCACGTCGGCCCCGCGCTCGTCCCTTACGGCCCCGATCGGCCCCGCAATCGTCCCTCACGGCTCCGATAGGCCCTGCGCTCGCCCTTAGCGCCCACGTCGGCCCCGCGCTCGTCCCTCACGGCCCCACCCGCTCCCCGCGCTCGCCCTTAGCGGCCCTGAACGGCCCCACCCAGAACGAGCCACCCGAACCGAGCAGCCCGGACCGAGCCGACCCGAGCCGCCCAGCCCTAACGGAACCGAGCCGCCCGGCCCGAGCCGCCAGCCCTAACCGAACCGAGCCGCCCGAACCGAGCCGCCCGAACGGAGCCGCGCCGCCCGAGCCGCGCCGCCCGAACCGAGCCGCGCCGCCCGACCCGTCCCGCGCCGCCCTACCTATACCTTGCCGCGCCGCCCTACCTACCCTACTGCTCCTACTGCTTTTCCT